CGGCTTTCTGTTCCTGTAAAGATTTACAGCGTCAGAAAACCCTATACAGGGTCACTATGAGTTGGAACTGACATCACAGCACACCACCACCACCATCATAAGGGTCTCCAAGGAGAAGCTGATTGTTGTGAACCAACAGCAGTTCAGTGCCTATCCTACAGCATCACAGCAGGATTCCTAGGGAAGGTTAGGGAGATGGAAACACCCCCTTCAGAAGATATGGAAGATATGTCAAGAAGCAGTAGCTTCACATTTTGATATTTTGGTGTAATCAGTGTTTCTATGGTTTCGTAGCAAAAGCAACCTGTGTGTTCTGGGATGAAGTACTGCCCTGTCCTGCACCATCCTTACTGTTGTGTTGGGGCCCATTGTCAGTCACTGTGGCAGTCCATCGCACTGAGGGTCTTCCTCTTTTCCGCTGACCCTCTATTTTACCAACAACTGATGTCTCCTGTTATTTCCAGAGTAAGTGAAACGAAGTCTCATCATTCTTGCTTCTGGGGAGCTTTCTGACTATATTTCTCCAGAACAGAGTTGTTCATTCTTCTGGCAGTCCATGGTATATTCAGTGTTCTTCACCAACACCACAGTTCAGATGTGTCAATTCTCCTTTGGTCTTTTTCATTGTCCAGCTTTCCTATGTATATGCTTCGGTCAGGCACACCTTGAACATACAAGTGACATCTTTGATTTTTTTAATGAAGCGATCTTTTGCCATAGATTTGTTCATTGCAGTACAGTGTTTTATTTCTTGCTTCCATGGGTGTTGAGTGTTAATCCAAGAAGAATGAAATTCCTTTTTTGGAGGGGATAGGGAGGATGGAGTAGGGGAAGTGGTGGTTGCATCGTAAATTTCACCTTCTATACGATTTCATTTGTAAGTTTCTGCCAGCCTTTACTTCTTCATGATTCATTGCCTTCCTTGGAGTCTTCAGTTTGTTTTACTGTCAGTGTTTCCACTGTAAATTGTAGTTTTTAATCAAGGCAGAGAAAATCTGAATTGCTTATTCATAGCAGATGCCTTCGTTGTTTGTTGTTGTTAGGTGTCCTTGAGTCGCTACTAACTCATAGTGACCCTGTGCACTGTAGAACAAAACACTGCGCGGTCCTAGCTCATCCTCACTATTGTTGCCACGCTTGAGCTCATTGATGCTGCCATTTTGCTGACCCATCTCGTTGGGTCTTCCTCTTTTTCTCTGACCCTCCACCTTACCAAACATGATTAAGTGTCGTCCAGTCAGTTCCAACTAATAGCAACCCTGTATAGAGATTCCATGGAGAAGGATATCAGACATGATATCCTTCTCCAGTGACTGGTCCCTCCTGACTATATGTCCAAAATATAAGAGACAAAGTTTAGCCATCCAGGACTCCAAAGAGCACTCTGGCTGCACTTTTTCCAACACAGATCTGTTGGTTATTTTGGCAGTCCATGGCACTTTCAATATTCTCCTCCAACAGCATAATTCAAAAGCATCAATTCTTTATTCACTATCCAGCTTTCACATGCATATATGGTTATTGAAAATACCATGGCTTGGGTCAGGTGCACTTTAGTCCTCAAGCTGAGATCTTTGCTCTTCAACACTTTAAAAAGGTCTTGTGCAGCAGATTTGCCCAATGCAATACGTCATTTGATTTCTTGACTGCTGCTTCCATGAGTGTTAATGGTTGATCCAAGAAAAATGAAGTCTTTGACAACTTCAGTCTTTTCTTCATTGATCCCTTTAGATGCCTTTATTAAAGTAATGCTGAGTTCTGTGCATCCATCTCAGAGATGTGTCCGTCACGGATGTTGTATGGCATCTACAAATACATCCTAGGATACCTTCTGTCTTCATTCCACAAAACTGCTGTCGTGTTTTGAGTCACAGAGGTCAGGGAGGCAAGCAGAGCCCTGTGCATGTGCACATAAAACTCTGCAGCCCCAAAAACCAAAACATCAAGCCCACGCTCATCTAGTTGATTCCAACTCATAGCAACTGTGTAGCACAAAGTAGCACACTGCTTCTTAAGGGCTTCTGAGACTGCAAATCTTTATGGGAGCAGACAGCCTTATCTTTCTCCCATGGAGGGGCTGGTGGATTTGAACAGCAATTAGCAACCCAGTGATGAAGCCACTGCACCACCAGGTGTAGCCCCAAGAAGAATGAAATTCTTGACAATTGCACTTTCTTCTCCAGTTATATATCTGTACACACATTGGAATTTAAGAAAATAATTTATTTTCTTGTTGTTGAGAATACACACAGCAGAACATACCCCAGTTCAACAGTTTTTACTTGTGTAGTTCAGTGACGTTGAGAACATTCTTCAAGCTGTACAACCATCATCCTCCTCCTTTTCTGAGTTGTTCCTCATCCATTAGCATAAGCTCACTGCCCCTAAGTTTCCTATTTAGTCTGTCTATTTGCTCTTGTCAGCTTCAACCATCTAGAGCAATCTTCAGAGAGCACAGTGCTCAAGGAAGACATTGTTTACTAGTTAAGCTGAACTGTTGTTTGGTTTTAAGAAGACTTCGGGGATATTTTTTGATTTAAGGTTTAAAGATTTTTCTCAGAGTAATAGTTTAAGGAATTTATCCCGCGTCCGTGGTTCCATAAAGTTTAGATTCCATGAGGATTTGCAATTCTTTTCTGTGTTTCTCCCTTTTAATCAGGATTCTTCTATAAAGTCTTTCATGAAAATACTCAGTAATACTAGCTGGGCACACACATAGGAATTTAGTTGTTGTTACTAGAAGATGTATAGTTGATAACAACCTTTTTTTGTGTGTCCATGCATGGACTAAATTTTATTAAGCACCTTCTGTGCATAAGGCATTCTGCTATATATATATACATTGTGGGTGAAACAAAAATGAATCAGCTGCATGTCCAGTGTGTATTGACACTTGTGCTGCAGCCGTTTCTATAGATGTGTGGATGTGTTTATAGTTTTTTATCTTGCCAATCCCTCCATGTCAACATTTCTTGACTAGACATTCTTACAGATGGCTTTTCCCTCACAACGTGAAACAATCCAGCCCAATAAAGAATGTTTTTATTTCCAGGAGCTCTTTATGAACAGTGGGTTTACCTCCTCGGTTACTCATCCAAGGCATTTGTTTATGGGTGACTCTACTCTTCAGCCCTCATTCTAATTGCTGACCTTTCCCATTCTGAAGGAGATGTTTTCATGCACTCATCACATTTAAGATCATTTATTGGACTCCTGGCATGGCGTTCTAGGATAAGCACTGAACTGCAAGGTCGGCAGTTCAAACCCACAAGCAGCTCCTTGGAAACCCTATACAGGGTCGTTATGAGTCAGAACTTACTTAATAGCACTTAATTAACTAAAACAACAACTACAAATTGAGATAAAGTCGTGAAAATACAGTGTGGTTCATTCCTGCCTCCTCCCTCTCCCTCTCTTTTTTCCTTCCTTCCTTCTAGTAGAATTCCCTACCTACCCCCCCCCCACACACACACAGAGAGACTTTGAGGCCCTCACACATGGAAACAGTGGTTGAAAGGGATAGGTTTGTTTTAGAGCTAGTTCCCAAAGCCTGGCTCCTTGCAGGACCCTTTGGTGATTCTAAAGCTTGCTGGAGCGGTCAGGGCTGCTTGGCCCTCTGGGACATAGAAAGCCTTCCACTGTACATGCACACGTAGCAGCGCTGCCCTCCTGACTTTGCCTTAAAGGTTAGGACTTTTTTGTGTTCCTCTTCTTTCTGTTTTTCAATTTCCCTGTCGGGGTTTGCGGAGATGAAGAGCATCTCAGAGCGGTGGGCTTGAACATGGTCAGATCCTTTACGTTTTTGTTCTTCTTTGTCATGTGCCCGTGTATCACACATTTGACTTCTCTCATACCTTCCTAGCCCCCCGGGACTTTAGAACACTTTTCCTAGAAATCAAATGCTCCCAGGTCTGACAACAAATGGGTTGGTGTACATTTGACAAAAGCTACCCAGTTCATCTTGTAAATCTTAAGAATTGAAATTCCTATAAGTCAACAATAATACAAATGTAGTCTGCCTGACAGGTAAATATTTTCTAAGAGATTTTCCTCATAAGGAAATGATGTTTCTTCCATGTCTGTTTAAATGTAGCGTTTACAGATGGGAATCAAGTCTCAGAAATCATGTGAATACCAAATGTTTTATAAGTTGTATTATTTTTCTCTTCATCGTATTTCAAGTGTAAAGCTTTTACAGTACCTGCATGTTAACAGTGATATTAATAGTACTAAAGTACCAGTAACAAAATTTGCTACCAAAAAAACAACATCATTTGTGTGAGTTAAATTCATTGTCAGAATTTTTGCGAGCTAAACTACAAATATATATTGGCGTTGATAACGTTTAGATAGTGATTTTTAAGTCTTTAAGGATACTCTAAACAAAAGTATCCTTTCGTTGATATTATACTCACATAGTAATTTTACTTTGGATAAGTTTTCTAATGTGAAATTGTATATTACACTTTAGATCAACAAGCAGCGTTCTACAACTGCTCCCAAGCCCCCCAGGCCATTAATGATCTGGCTTTTGCCCCAGTCTCTTCCTCCTTTTGGTCACTGGTTTTTTCCTTTCCTCAACTGTGCAAAGCTTACTGAGTTATTCAAAGCTTGATGAAGTGTGTGGGAACTGAGTCAATCCCAAGTCAGTTTTGTTGTGTACTGGGTTTCCAGGAGGAGACTCACAATAAATAGTTGCTCAGCGTAACGATGCCTGAGACTGAAGGAGATCGTGGAGCAACGCGAGGTACCCAGATTCCCTGGTTGCTAGCCCATTCAGTGTGCTTTCCACAAAACCACCTCAACTTTATGCTTCAAAACGTTTTCCTGCTCTGAATGTAGACCTGCACTAGCATCATGATACAAATTGTCCCTAAAAAATAATTTTCCATTTTCTTTTTGTCTTATTTCAGGATTACAAACCTACTGTTCCCACACAGTAGGTGCATTGTGAAGGGGGATCTCCATCCGTCATTTTTTATCTTTCTTTTCTCTTGTAGGCAATCTTTGGCAGCCAGACACTACCTAACTCCAATTTATGGACAGTGAATAATGGTGCATCTTGCAGAATTCCAAGTGCCACAGGCAGTGGCCAGAAGCCAATCACTTTGTCACAAAAAGTGGTGCCACCTCCAAGCTCGTCGTCCTCCTTGTTCCCCAAGCCCCCGTCCAATCACAAACAAGTGCTCAGAAAGTCAACATCCCAGAGGTCTTCCAAGTAAGCTTTCTGTTTCAGCTTTTCCATTTCTTCTGAGTTAGGTCCATTCTATGTGCATCTTACTCTTCATTATGCTCAGTAATGAATAAATTATTATTATTTACATATTAATATATAATGAATAAATTATTATTAATTGAAAGCTGAGCTTTCAACTCGGCTTCTACTGAAATATTGGAATTGGAATACTTGATTGGAAATAAAGGATGATATTGGTCCTCAACCTTAGCTACAAATTAGAATCACCTGGGTTGCTACTGAACCTTTGACTCTGCCCTATACAAAGGACAAGCACTGCTCTTCATTTTTTAAAAATTTCATTTGATTGTATAAAATGTGTACAACCATTTTAACTATTTTTCAGTGAACAATTCAGTAACATTAATTACATTCAGCATGGTGTGCGACCATTGTTGTTGTTGTCAAGTGCTATCAAACCCGTTCCAAGTCATAGTGGCCCTGTCTAGGGTTTCCGAGGAGCAGCTGGTAAGCTTAAAACACTGCCCTTGAGGTCGAGTGCTTATTGTATGGCACCACACTCCTGCAACCATTACCACTATCTATTTCCAAAAGGTTTTCATCACACAAACAAATTCATTTTACCTTAAGGGATGACACTCCATTTCTCCCTGCCCTTAACTGATGGTACCCCCTGGTTCGTGAGCATACAATATTTGTCCTTTTGTGTCTGGTGGGTGTAAACCACCAACCTTTTGTTTACCCGACAAGTGCTTAGCCACTGTGCCACCAGAGCTATTGCTTATTTCTAACCCACTTAGCAAAAACCTTGATTCTCAAGGCTCACTCTTATCATAACACGTATCAGAATGTATTTCTGTTTGTGGCTGAATAGTATGCCATTGTACATAGGCCACATGGTTGAACCACCATCGACCTTGCAATTAGCAGCCCAGTGCTTATCCTATCTGCTTGTCTGTTGGTGAACACATGGGTGGTTTGCACCTTTTTGTTGGTGTGAATAATGCTACAGTGAACATTGTTGTAAGAGCTTATGAGCCCTTTCTCTGAGATCCTTCGGATATAAATCTAGGAGTGGACTTGCTGGGATGTAAAGTGGTATTTCACCATGGTTTTGAGTTGCATTTCCCGAATAACTGATAGTGAGTCCTGGTGTGGCACTGTAGGATTAGCACTGGACTGCTAACCCCACAAGGTTGGTGGTTCAAACCCTCCAGCTAGAGTCCCTATGAGTCAGAACTGACTCAGTGTCATACAACAACAGTAACTAATGACGTTAAACACCTTCTCTGTTTGATGACCATGTGTACATTTCCCTTAGAGAAATGTCGATTCATATCCTTTGCCCTTTTAGAAATGAACTTATTTGTCCTTTGGTTGTTGAGTTATAGAAGTTCTTTATAAATTCTGGTTAGTAAGCCTTTACTCAGGTATATGATTACTAAATATTTTTCCTATTTTATAACTAGTCTCTTCACTTTCCCTACGAAGTTCTTTGATGCACATTTTTAATTTTGATGAACTTCAGTTATCTATTTTGGGTTTCTTGCTTGTTCTTTTGTCAGTGTCGTCTGTGAGAATCCATTGTTAAAAACAGGGACTTGAGCTTTACCCCTATGTATTCTTCTAAGAGTATTACAGTTTTAATATTATATTTAGGTCTTTGATTCCCTTTGAATGTATTTCTGGTATATGGTGTGATAAGTCCTGGTTTGGTGCTAGAGGATAAGCACTGGATTCGAACCACAGTTGGGTGATCAGATCTACCAGCCCATCCTCAGAAACCCTGTACAGGATCGCTACGGGCCAGACTGACTTGACGGCACTTAACACAGCAGTATGTCATGTGAGGTATAGGTCCACCCTCATACTTTTGCATGTAGAGATCCAGTCATCCCAGCACTGTTTGTTGAAGAGACTGTTCTTTCTCCATTGAATGAACTTACTAGCACCTCCATCAATTGATGAGTCGGTTTATTTGTGAGTTTCATTCTATTCCCCACCACTCATCCGTCAGTTTGTGGTAATCTGGCAGCTTGCATGTTTCTGGAAGTTATGCCATTGGTATTTTAAATACCAGCAGGCTCACCCATGGTGGACAGGTTTTAGCTGAGCTTCTAGACTAAGACAGACTAAAAAGGAGGACAGAGAGACAGACCATTCTGAATATTTACAAATGGAAAGCATTATGAATAGCAGCGGAACATTGTCAGCGGAGATGAACCCCTCAGGTTGGAAGGAATTCAAAATACAACTGGGTAAGAGCTGCCTCCTCAAAGTCGACTTAACTGTAAGGACAGGAATGAAGCAAAGGTTTCAGGACCTACATTTGTTGATGGGCAAAACTCAAAATGAGGAGAAACAGATGTAATCATCCCTTAATAATCTAAACATGAAATACAGGACCTTCATTTGCTTATGGGGAAAGTGTCAAAATGAGATAAACAGTTGCAAACATTCATTAATAATCAGAATATGGAATGTACAAAGTATGAATCTTGGGAAAATTGGAAGTTGTCAGAAATGAAACGGAATGCATAAAGATTGATATCCTAGATACTGATGAGCTGAAGTGGACTGGTATTGGCCATTTTGAATCAATCATATAGCTTAATATGCTATGCAGGGAACAACAAATTCAAGAGGGATGGCGTCGCATTCCTTGCTTAAAAGCATATTTCAAGAGATCTGCCTTATGTCAGCACCACAGTGGTTTTTTGGTGTGTGTGTGTGTGTTTTTTTAAGTTTTTATTGTGAGTTGAGTGATATTTTACATGGGAAAACATCAGCTTTACATTCATCCTATCGTATTTCGTTTCACTGCAATGATTACAATCACCTCCCTGCATCATCAACTAACCAAAGGGTATACCCCACAAGCCTGCACCCCGGCTGTCAGCACACAGCCCCTCTCCCTCCCTGAGTGCAGAGTCCCCATCCGCTCCATCTCTCCCCATCATCATCTCTGCCTCCATCTCTGGAGTCACTGCTTCTCCCGTAGGCTACTCTTCTCCCTTGATGGGCCCAGTGTCCTCCGCTCCAGGACTGCAAAATCAACCACTCCCCTCCTTTTGTTACACAATGTCTACCCTTACATTTGCAACTCTCACAGTCAGTTCTGATAGCAATTATTCACTATTGAACCAGAAGAGTCTTATCGTCATCTTTCACCAACCCCATCCAGACAGGTTGGAAACCACTAAGTTGAGATTCTACCTTCCCCTGCACCCTCTGGAACTAGGCTCCCTCTTGAAAGCTTATAAGCCAGTCACTTCTTGCCTTTGTAGACCACCACCCACCTCCCCCATTTTGGGTAGCCAATGTCTAAGTTGCCTATCCCTGTCAACCCTGTTTACCAAGGGAGTGAGAATGATCCTCGCTATAAAGATTTGTTCCCTCTTTTGAGCTACTACATCCATGAGTATAGATGAAGTTCATCAAATCGCAGCGAGTTACTCTTTTTCCTCTTCGCTCTGCCTCTAGTTGAGTTCTGATCATCCAGACATTGAAGCCAGGTCAAGTCATATCAGCTGGACACGTCACTGTCTGCTCTAGTCTTCTGTGGCCATGTCCCTGTCCCAGGGCCCAGGAGTCCCCAGGTCTCGCCATACACAGTATTTGAATTACTATAGTTTTCTAATACATTCTCAAATTGGGCCATGTGAGTCCTCTTACTTTGTTCTTTTTCATTACTGCTTTGGCTGTTCAGGGTTCCTGGCAATTCCATATGAGCTTTAGAATTGACTCTCTTCCTTCAGGCCCTGCTCTTTTCCGTTCCTCAGTGATGGTGAGACAAGCTGCAGCAGGCTTCAGGGTCATTACTAACCAGCTCTTTGGGCTCCTGGTGGGTGCTAGCTACAGTCTGATGGTACCCCCAGCAACAGCCTCCCTCGGGTTTTGGGAAAAGAAACTGAATACATCTTCTTATGGGCCTCCCGATGCAGACTCTGTTGATCTTTTCAGTTGTGTGTAGAATGCAACACTCCCCACTTTGTAGTTTGTTTGACTTTCAGGCATTCCCATGGGAAGATGTGGGTTTGCTGTTCCATTTGAGGAAGATGAGTTTCAGTGCATATAGTCATAAGCTTCTGTGTAGCAACAGTGTTTCTCAGACCTTTTGCAGTCTATATGGTTTTGTTACATCAGAAGAGATGTAGCTTATATACACCATATATTTGTAGGTTACATGGTTCACTCTCCTTCCTCCAGGCACCTCTTAGCTAAATGAACTCAAAGAGATTGGCAAAGGGTATTGGTTCTAGCCGCCCTTCCTCATTTTAATATTGGGGACCTTCTCAGAGCTGTCTGGAAAAGGCAGTATAAGCATCTAGAAGGGATGTGTGTATCCATTTTAGTTGTAAGAAAGAATCAAAGGGCATAGAAAAAACAGGAGCTCTTTTTCCCTCTCCTGGAAGGTGAGTCAGAGTCTTGATTCAGCCTGAAAGCAATCCCTTGTTGCTCTTTTCAATTATATTGGCGCTGTTACTGCCTGCTAATGGCTTTATTAGCTATAATGAGAGCTATTGACAGTTCTCTGGTGTATAGAGAAGGGCATTAGGCTGGCTGCAGGTTGTGGTCGAAGGGCAATAGCAAAATAGAGAAGAAGCTGTGTGCCCCCACCACCCCACACACACACACACACACACACACACACACACACACACACGTTAACGTTACACAGGAGTAGAGTCTAATCCTTAAGGAAGCAGCCTGTTGAGCTAGACTGTCTGCTTTCCCATCCCAGCTCCACACTTTGTAACTTGAGAACTTGAGCAAGTTATTCAATCTCTTTTTGCCTTAGTTTTCTGATCTGTAAAATAGGGGCAGTAATAGTAACTATTTCACAGGTGAGTTGGCCAACATTAGCAGGACTAATACATGTCAAGGCCTGACACACAGTAGACCTCAACAAGCCTTGGTCACCATCACCAGCATACCAAAAGCACATTCTCTTTCACAGGTTTGAAAAGTGATTCTTGTGCATGGACTCTACCATTATTGATTATCCCCTGGTGTCTTTG